GACTGTCCGAGAACCCTCGAGACGCCCCACGAGACAGCGAAACACGTTACTGAAACGGCCCCCCGAACCGACCAGACACCCCAAGATGGTTCTGCCGAGCCTCTTCGGTGGAGCTCGGTGAAACAAGCGCGCCCAGGACGGCCGCCTAGAGCCGTCCCCTGCCCAACCTGAAGAAGTTTCCTCCTCCCCGCTCGTGTTGCCCAGTCCACCGAGGATTCTGCCCCACCTCCTCAGACCTTGCCCCAAGAGTGGGTTGGGGATGGCGTCTGGGCCGGAGCTGGGGCCAGTGGAAATAGGAGACGATGGAGCCCTGAGGGATGCAGCCATATTGACGAGGGGGCCCGAGAGCAGCCTGGGACACCTTCCTATCCTCAAGGCCGCATCCCTCAGCCAGCGGCGCGCCCAAGGGGGGGGGCAGAGAAAGCAAGCCTTCTCAAAAGGCTCATACTGCCTCCAGTCTTCTGCACGAACGAACGGGCGTTGAGCACGGGCCGCGCGCGCGGCCACTGAAATTACTCGGACCATCTCGGTAGAGAATGTCCGCGGCTCGCCATCGCTCGGACGTCCATTCCCTGTGTTTTTTTTGGTTTCGTGCCTGGTTCTTTCGCCAAATGATCAAGGATGCTCCTCGATGGTCCTCGCCGGAGGAAATATGCACACGTCCGAGCGATGCCAGGGCGGGCCCTGCTCCCGTCTGGGATCCTGTCGAGGACTCGCCGGGCCCACTGGTCGGAGCCCATCTCGTTGAATACTTCTCACCAGCGCTGTAGCCGAGATCTGCGCCCATTTTGTCCAGTTTGGGACGTCGCGGTGGCTCATGACTTGCCACGCCTCCAATTCCACGCGCTGCACGCAATCCACCCATGTCTGCACGTCCCCGTCTGGCTCGTACGTGCACCCAGTTGCCATAACCAAACAGTGCTGTCGGCGACATCATACAATGGATGAGCTGCATACCAGAATCGAATGGCGTTGCTTTGTCTGCCACCTCCTGCCTGAATGTACCTGACTTCGCACACGCCCTCTTCAGCCAGCACGTCAGTTCAGCGCCGCGCGCGTCTTGCACTGAATGCGCCCTGCCCATATACACGACGCCTTCCGTCGGCACCATCATTTCTATCAGCATGCCATCTACAACGGCCACTCTGACCGTACGGTCGTAATCAATGTGGTTATGCTGTACGTTCGCCTATCTCTGGGTGTGTGGCTGCAGCCCTGCATTCGCACTTCCACGTTTCAGGTCCGACATAAGTATTTTGATTTCTGGCACAGAGCGGCCGACGAACAACATGTCATTTGCAAAATTCAAGATCGTCCGTGAAAACTATCCGTTTTCGCCAAGCTGCACTCCGAAAAGTTCGGCAGCCATCTGCGTCCCTGCCTTGCGCATCACCTCCTCGAGCACAAAATTGAAAATAATTTCAAACATCTAGCGTCGCAGTCCACAACGGCACGTTGAATTCGTTGTTTTTCCCTGCTAGCAAAGTGACTGCCAAATAATGGCCGTCACAACTAGTACATGATCTGAAGCCGACTTGATTGGCACACTGCTCTGCAATGAACCTGCACAGTAATTTGCCGAAAAGCTCGTACAACATTGCATGGATGCAAGAAGGCCTGCATTTTCGCGGTAAACGCTCGTCCCCTCTCTTGAGGAGCAGCCAGCTTGAAGATGCCTTCGAATAACGTGGCGCAGTAGCTCCTGGGTCCAATACAGCCGTGAAAACGTCTGCTATCATTTGCATCAACAAGCCGCTCCCCTTGCGCAGTAGTTCGACCACCAGGCCATTCTCGTCTGCAGCCTTGCCCGCACGCATTGCCTTCAGCTGGCGTCGTACTTCCTCAAGCGTGACAGTCGCGGCACGATTGCAAATACCGTCCTACTGAAACGAATCGCTCTTGCCATCGTCACGAGATTCGAAGAACACAGCAAACACTTCAGCGACATCTCGCGCTTACGTCAGCTGGGTGCCCCCAGCATCAAAAACAGAAGACCTACAGGACTTCTTACCATTATTGCACATACCTTGAATTTGGCTAGACGTAAGAGTGACCCTGGGTAAGAGTGACCTTTGGTGCGCGGCTTTTGGGGGGCGCGCGGGGGCCACACCCCAGCGCGCAGGCCGCTGCTATCGCATCGCTCTCAGCGATCGGGGGGGCCTGGTGAGCCCGCACGAAATGTCACTTCGGCGAAGGGTCACTCTTACCCGTCGGTCGGAAGAAGTGGGTCAAGGCATGAAGTGGGAAGCGGGTAAAGCAGATTGGGCTTCCGCCCGCCTCATGAAGAGGAGGGAATGAGTAAGTCGGGCGTGTCCTCCTACAGGCAGAGTTTGGAAGAAAATTAAAATAGACAACAAAAAAATCCAAGAGCACGAACAATCGTAACCTGACTATGTTTTGACTGTTCTTGAATGCTTCTCCTGTCGACGGACATGCCCGACTGAAGGGAAGAAGGAAGCCACTCCATCCTTGAAGTAGGACGGCGCCCAAAATACAGTCGGGGCGTTGACCTAAGGAACCCTAAATAAGGAACGAGGCCCCTATTTTCCATAAATTAAACTTCGATTTCATATCGAAAACCTAAGAAGAAAAATCTAAGGCAAGCTGCGAAACAATTAAGGAACACCGAGCCCCTCCCCAATGAAAAGGGTTCCTTCTTCAGCGCCCCGACTGTAGACTGGAATCTGGGAATCCAAGAAAACACCTGCCTTCCAAAGACTGACGTGCACTTGCAGTCCAGAACCGCCGAGCCCAGGGCCGGACGCGCCTCGGGCCAGCCAGGGGGGGGGGAAGTATCGACCTGGAGCCGGCGTAGGAGGAGGAGGAGGAGGAGGAGGAGGAGGAGGAGGAGGAGGAGGAGGAGGAGGAGGAGAAGAGGAGGAGGAGAGGAGGAGGAGGAGGAGGAGGAGGAGGAGGAGGAGGAGGAGGGAGCAGGAGGAGCAGGAGGAGGAGGAGGAGCAGGAGGAGCAGGAGGCCCCGACGGCAGAGCCGCACGCTCCTGGGCGGGGCGTGCTGCCAGGCCCCGCGTCTCGGCACTCCGTGGGCGCCCGGGGCCCTCGAAAGCCTTCCCCCCCCCCTTTGGACGCCCGCCCTCCCCGAAGGGTGCCCCCGAAGGGTGCCCCCGAAGGGTGCCCCCGAAGGGTGCCCCTGAAGGGTGCCCCCGAGTGGACGCCCGAAATGGGCACGGAACGAATGGGCACAATGCCCAACAGCAAGTGTTGCCCCGAACCAACAGCGGCCGCTGTTGGGCAGGCAGCCTTCTGTCTCGAATGGACACAGGCCGCGGCGGCGAGGACAGCGAATCCTGTTAAAAATGAAGAGGAACTGCTGTTAGGCATTGTACCCACTCTTTCCGTACCCATTTCGGGCGTCCAGACCCCCTCGGAGCCCGCCCTCCCCGAAGGGTGCCCCCGGTGGTGCCCGCGGCGCCCCGCGGCGCCGCGCAGGTGCTCCGACCGTCCCGCGAGGGAGGTGGCCGGAGAAAGCGGGCTGGCTCGGGCCGCCAGGCAGGGACCGAGAGCTCTATACGCCGGCGCGTTTTCCGGCCCTGCACGGAGACTTGCAGACGGGCAAGCGGATCCTGGTGTCTGCGGGACCCCGGAGGAGAACGGGAAAAAAAGTATGCCCCACACCACCCCGACGTCGTCTAACGACCCTGGAGAGATGCCGGGGGTGCAAAACAGCCCACCACTGGCAAGGTATCTGCTCCAGTTTCCGACGACTGTGCTGCAAGGGAGGTCGCCGAAAGTCGGCCTGGCTTGGACCGCCAGTGGGGCCGCGCCGGCGCCGCCGCTGCACCGAAGCGGCGCGCCGCCTGCCCTGCCTCGCCGCCTCACCCCCCCAGCGAGCGGGCCCGCGGGCGGCGCGGGCGGCGCGGGCGGCGCGGTGCCTATGGCTATGTCGATGATGTCGGAAAAGTCGTTGACACCTGCGAGCCGCCGCGCGGGACATCTGGACGCCCGAGGTGGGAACGGAAAACATGGGCACAGGGCCCAAACACAGATGCTGTCCAAAACCGAAATTAGCTTCAGTGAACAACGTCCGCGGCGGCGCGGACAGCGAGGCCTGTTCAACATGAACAAGAGCTGATGTTGGGCATCGTACAGGATCTTTCCGTACCCACTTCGATCGTCCCGAAGACAGAGCGGCCGATACCGCGCCACTGCCGTCACCTATGCGGCTGCCTCTGCTCAGCTGTCGCATTTCGACCGGCAGTCCTGTCCCCTGCACCTACCTCCCCCGCTACTACGCTTCTGACATGCTCTGGCTCTTGCGCCCCCTCCCGTCCACACTCTCTCTCTCTCTCTCTCTCTCTATCCTCCCCATTCCTTCCATTGCCTCCCTCTCCGCAGTTGCCTTTCTCTCCTTTTCCCGTTTTTTTTTGGACCGTGCGAGTTGGGGCCTCGCCATGGATGGCCCAGCTGGACATCTCGTAGCCACGATGTGCGGTCCCGGGGGAGCAGTTGTTCGCAGACACCCCAGGCGGGCGAGCTTTCAGCCTGTGCAGTGTGTGTGGCGCATTACTGGCCAGACCCAGTAACCTGTTTGGTGTTTGCGCCAATGTTGTTGGCATGCACAGGCCTCCTGACCACGCCCGCCTCGCGCATGACAGACCATACTCTGGGCTGGTGATGCAGGGGGGGGGGGGCCTTGGGTGGCAGCAAAATGCTGGGCTGCGAGGAGATCAGGGCACACCAGGCTGTAGGCGATCCCACTCTTTCTTCTCGTGAGCGTTTTTCCTCGCGCATCGGTAACAAATTCGCTGATCGAGCGGCCAAGCTCGGAGATGTGGCGCTCCCGACCGCCTCGCATGCGACCTTGGCCGACAACGATATTGCTGTTCTCGCATGTACGTATACGTATATCGTCAGGCTAGCCGCAGAGATGCTCCCGATGTGGTCAAGGCCTGATGTGTCGGAGGTTCCCTGGTAACCCGAGAGATCCCAAGGCTCGAAAGGCCCCTCGACCCCACACGTGGGTGTGACTTGGCCCTCCTGAAGGTTCTCAGTGTTTTGGGCAGTGCTCTTCTACTCGCTTGCGCACCAAGCGGAGGCCAGGGAACAGTGCCCCCTCCCCCGAGGTAACTGCAGCGAGGTCCTTCGCGTGAATGTGCAGTCGCTGCCATATGTAGATGTTTGGCAGGTCGGAAGGCTCGATGGATTTCGTGCGCCCTGAATGCAAATGTTACACTTCGGGCGCTCGTTTCGCCAAACTTGGAGAGTTGTGCACAGGTCGTAGGAAGGACCTCAAGACCAGCAAAGATAAATATGACCCAGATTGTTGGAACGAAAGTTGCAAGGGATTACAAAGAGAAGGGGGACAACTTACTTTCCGACACTTTCAGCGCGTTTTGAAGTCATGCAACGGGGCGATCGTGCTCAAAACCTCTTCCACAATTGCCTTCCCGCCCGTCCAGTTCCCCCACCCCCCCCTCCCCTGCACAGATCCGAGACCGCTCCCGTGAAGGAAGGCTGCCCGTAGCGATCAAACGACGCATGATCCTGGGCCCAGTGGGACGGGTCCAGGGACTCCTCGGCCCACCCCCGCGCAAACCTCCCCTCCCCCCCCCCCTGCAGTGAGCGGAGCGGACGCGCGCACGACGCACAACGCAACGCAGCACACGCATGCCAAACACATCGGGTCGCTCCACCGAGGAGGAAGAAAACGGGCTCCCATATGACTACCGATCAGGCCACCCCAACCTAACCCGAAGACCTAAATTTCGGGTTGCGGGGGGTACGGGTTCCACACGTGCTTTGTTCAGTGTTCCGCGACGCCCTCGCCAAGGGCAAGTTGGGGCCTTCGGGTTGGGCTGGAGTGGTTTGGTGGGTGGTGACCATAGGAGCTCCGCCAGATTGTGCTCGACCAGCCAGTGGGCCGAAACCTAGATTGGCGCTGGCACCCCTGCTCTTCGTGCGGTCGTGGGTGACAGCTACTTCCTCAGCGCAACGACCGCACGTCGAAGAGCCTTCGGTGGCAACTCATGGGAGCCTCCCATACCATCTTGTCGGCTCTTGCGAATCGACGCTAATCGACGCTAAATCGACGTTAATCGACGCTAAATCGCTAATCAACGCTAAGCGACGCTGAATCGGCGCTACCTCATCGACTCCAAACGCTAATCGACGCGAGACGACGCTAAAGACGGAATTGAGAGGGTACACCCGGCTGCCATTATCTGCCACCGAGACAACTGAAGTCTGCGGCGATCCGCGCGCGCGGGGGGAACTGGAAAAGAACGCCCACACGGCCTCGCCCCGACCCCTCAAATGATTACCTACCAGACCACCCCAACCCAACCCGAAGACCCGGATTTCGGGTTGGGGGGGTAAGCGTTCCACACGTGTTTTTTCTATGTTTCCCGACCCCCCCACTGGAAGTCGAGGGTAAATCTGAGCCTTCGGGTTGGGTTGGGGTGGTTTGGTGGGTGGTGATCGGATCCGGCCACGCCCGACGCCTCGGGACTCCCCAACCCGCGGACCCCAGTAGCCCTCGGCACCCTCTTCCGTGTGGACGCCAGCCAAATCCAGAGAGCCCTTGCCGGCGGCTCCCGGGGGGGCCCGGCCACGAGGCCCCCGGGATCCATCCTCCTCCTCCTCCTCCTCCTCCTCCTCCTCCTCCTCCTCCTCCTCCTCCTCCTCCTCCTCCTCCTCCTGCTCCTGCTGCTCCTCCTGCTCCTCCTGCTCCTCCTGCTCCTCCTGCTCCTCCTCCTCCTCCTCCTCCTCCTCCTCCTCCTCCTCCTCCTCCTCCTCCTCCTGGAAGACCGCCCGCTTCCCGTCTGCTCACGGGGGGACTTTAGGATACCGTCGCCGCTGCTCCCCAGACCTCTCCTGGGGTGCGTTCTGACCGAAACTTCGAAGCGGATCCAGCCGTGGCGACGAGGACCGCCCAGGAGGCCCAAAACGGCGAAAGCGAGGTAAGAGTAGCAGTATCGGTACCTATTATCATCCTCCGAGTGAAGAGTCTGAGCTTGCACACTTGCTCTGCGTCCTCCTAAAGTTAGGTCGGGCATGGTGGAAAATCCGCCGGCCCCCTTATAGGGCCACCAGGCTGTAGGCCGAAGGTTCGCAGTTTCCTGTACCAGTTGCAGCTTCCAGTTTCCACTGTTACAGTTCTGCTTCTTGCTGCTTACGGTTCCTTGTTGATGGACCGCGCGAGGGGGGTGAGGCCCAAACGGGCAGGTTTAGCACGCCCTGAGCGTGTGCTCTGAATTGCTGGGGGGGGTAAAAATTTACACCCCTCACGCAGATCGGCGGGGTCAGGGTCCAAAAACACACGGGATTTGCTACATTTCTGAAATTCGGTGGCACCCCTCACGCAGATCGGCGGGGTCAGGGTCCAAAAACACACGGGATTTGCTACATTTCTGAAATTCGGTGGCACCCCTCACCCAGATCGGCGGGGTCAGGGTCCAAAAACACATGGGATTTGCCACATTTATGAAATTTGCTGGCACCCCTCACGCAGATCGGCGGGGTCAGCGTGCAAAAACATAAAGGATTTGCAACATTTCTGACATTCGGTGGCACCCCTCACGCAGATCGGCGGGGTCAGGGTGCAAAAACACAAAGGATTTGCCACATTTCTGAAATTCGGTGGCACCCCTTACCCAGATCGGCGGGGTCAGGGTCCAAAAACAGACGGGATTTGCCACATTTCTGAAATTCGGTGGCACCGGGGATTTGCCACATTTCTGCAATTCGATGGCACCCCTCACGCAGATCGGCGGGGTCAGGGTCCGAAAACCCAAGGGATTCTCAACATTTCTGCAATTCGGTGGCACCCCTCACGCGGATCGACAGGGTCAGGGTCCAACAACACAAAGGATTTGCTACATGTTTTAAAATTCGGTGGCACCCCTCACACAAATCGGCGGAGTCAGGGTCCAAAAACACAAGGGATTTGCCACATTTCTGACATTCGGTGGCACCCCTCACGCACTTCCGCGCGGTCAGGACACAAGAGACTTCCAACATGTTCAAATTCGGGGGGAAGATTTGGGCACAGCATACGGAAGCAACTGGAAAGTAAAACAGCGAGTACAACAATAGACTCGCAATCTCCATTCGTCTTGCCAATTACCCATCGTCTTCGCATGAAGTTCCGACGCTGCTTCACGGTGAAGCCAAAGCCTCATGACTTCGCTCTTCCATGGCCCATTCTCCGAGAGAGGGGACCGGCGGCAGGTGGCGAAGCCATTACGGATAAAAAAATATCAAACAATGCCTCAATATAATCAAAAAATACCCCGAAATAGTCAAACAAGTAATAAAAAAAACGTCCCCAGACTATTGTTTGACTATTCTTAAATTTCCCCCCTGTAGAGGGACACGCCCGACTTAATCCTGAAGGCACAGCGACTGCAGACGAGAGCCCGCAGGGAGCGCGCGGGCCCGCCGTTCAGCGTGGAGCCCTCGCCCACGATCACGCGGCCCCCGGCGGCGCCCAGCGGCCTGCAGGGGGAAGCCGCGCGGCGAGGCAAAGTAGAAATCGCACTAACGTTAGGTTGGGCATGTCCCCATACAGGCGGATTCATAAGAAAATCAGAAATAGTCAAAAAAACATCTTGAACTATACAACAATATTCAAAAAATCGTCCCCTGACAATATTTTACTACTTTTGAATATTCCTCCTGTGGAGGGACATACCCGACTTAATACTAACGCAACCAAACGGGGCACTTCTTTAATCGTTTGGTCGCTGCGAGACCCACCCCCAGGCATGTTGTGGATCGGTTGGTCGCACTCGCTTCGCCAGCACTTGACAGACCGAGCGGAGAGAGCTGAGACTCCTCCTCATGCCCCTCCTCCTCCTCTCATCCTCCTCTCCTCCTCCTCCTCCTCCTCCACCTCCTCCTCCTCCTCCTCCTCCTCCTCCTCCTCCTCATCCTCCCATCCTCCCGCAAGCAGCCAAAGCACTCTGACCAGGGGACGCTCCGCGACGAAAGGGGCCCGCCGGGCAGGGAAGCCCGCCAACCAGCCACGCCGGGCCACGAGACCGTGCGCATGGCACACAGCAACGCAGCCTCGCAGGAGGGGTGCGTCGACCACGGCCGTCGGCACCAGCATCGGTGGGACCCGTCCAGAGCCCCTGTCCCTCTGGGGGGGGGCAGCAGGGAAGGGGCCTTCGGTGGCAACTCCTGGGGGCCTCCCCTGCCATCGTGTCGGCTCTTGCGAAGCGACGCTCGTCGACGCCAGATCGACGCTGAACGACGCTGAATCGGCGCTGATCGATCCTAAATCGACGTTCGTCGACGCTAAGCGACGCTAGATCGGCGCTACCGCATCGACTCCCAGACGCCAATCGACGCGAAAGTCGGAATTGAGAGGGTATACCAGGCTCCCATGATTTGCTGCCGAAGGGACCGATGCCGCTACCCCCTGGAACTCTTAGGGGGTGCGCTCTGGCCAGAGTTTCGAGGCGAAGCCAGCCGTGGCGACGAAGGAAGGGTAGTCGCATCGATGTCAGAGTGAGGGGGCCGAATGGTCACTCGGTGTCCCTGGGTGCGTGGCTGAAGTGTGATTTCACTGGTGGACGTTTTCTTTTTCGGCGTTTCGACACTCGGCGGAAGAGGGGGAGGGGGGGGGTTCTGGCTCTGGGTCTCTGCTTAGCAAGCCTGCTCGCAACGGCGCGTCAATCGCCCAAAAACAGCCAGGACCTACTCCATTGGGGGGGGTCCGCGCCGATCGGCAAAACAACGAAGAAGAGAAAAATCACTTATGCTTGTGTGTTGTTGCTGAAGTTGCATTTCTAAAGAATCATTGTTGTTAATATCCCCCGTGAAACTTAAGTATTCAATTGAAGTGCTCCGCCTGGAGCTCGCACCCTGCGTTCTTTTTACAAGGGAAAGTCATCATCCTCAGGTTGGGCCCCTGGCTCCCGATCCACAACAACAACAACCACCACCACAACCATCATTTTAAGACTGTTCGCTGTGATCTGCTCGCGTACCATTCAACACACATATTGCAAGCCCTCGATACAAACCCGCCATATTTGTCTTCGATCGTAACCCATTGGAGGTAGATCTTTCTTACCTGCAACGTGGATTTCGCGCAGCCCCTAAGGGATGGGAAGAGAGCACGGCTGGAAGGAAGGGACAAGGAGGGAGGAGGATGGAGCACGAGAGAGATTAGCAGTAGGAGGGGCTGGGAGCAGAAAGCACGTGGCAGAACCAAGATGGCTGATCCGGCGGGTAGACCCTAACAGGCGGGTCGGGAAGGCGGGCCCATGCGGCCAGGTCGAGCAAGCGGGTTGCTGAAGCGTGCGTCCTGCATGAATCGCGAGGAGGTCTCGAGCGATAGCGCGATTCCCAAGTATACCTTGAGAAAAGCCAGACCGAGAGCGCGCGTCGAGGGCGCGGCGTCTGAATAATTTGCGAGGACGTCCCGCGCGAGAGCGCGACGCCTGCATACATTGTGAGGAAGTCCCGCGCAAGAGCGCGATTCCTCAAGAAATTGTAAGGAAGTGTCAGGCGGGATCCCCAGCAGCCCCGTGCACAAAGCGCCGCTGGAGGCGGCGCAGGGGTGTGGAGACCGCCTCGGCTGCTCAGGGGGCCTGTTGAGGCCAGCTGGGACTGCGGCAGGTTCGTGTCGTGTCGACCCCAGCTCTGGTTCCCGACACCGCGGGGATCTTTCCACCTCGAAGGGTCGGCCGTTTCCGCAGCGTCCGCTCGTTCAACGTCGACCGATGCTGGGCTGCCCGTTCAGCGCTGGAACGCCGGCGGCGGGGTTGCCTCCAGTCGACACGACACGAACCTACCGTACCTGGGGGCCTCCTCCTCCTCCTCCTCCTCCTCCTCCTCCTCCTCCTCCTCCTCCTCCTCCTCCTCCTCCTCCTCACCCGAAGCCTCACCAGCCCAGCGTGCGCGCTCAGGGGAGGGTCTGCCGTGCTGGGGGGGGCGGGGCGAGCCACTGCAGCACGCAGCACGGCTCCCTGCCGTCGATGATCAGCAGGGAGCCGTTGTGGACGCACACGGCCCACGGCTCCAGCTGCGGGGGGCGGGCGGGGCGCGGCCGACGGGTCAGCGCTCCGCGCGAGGAGGTGCGGCAGGTCGGCGGCGCGGTGGCGTGGGCGGCTGGCTTCTGGCACCACGTGGCTTCGCGCAGCCTTCAGCGATCGGTGGTTTTTCGATCGCCGGGCCGTTCGACACTCAGGAGAGGCGGAGTCCGCACGGAGTAAACCCATGCGGAGGCCGAGCACCGAGGACTCCGTACGGACTTACTCCGTACGAACTTAGCATCCTCTGTTCCATGTTGGCCAATTCAGGGCCACTAGCGGCGTTCAACTAACCGGCCGTACGGCAGGTCGGCGTCACGATGGCGTGAGCGATTGGCTTCTGAGACACTGCGTGGATCGTTCAACCTCGAGTGGCCGCAGCTTGCGGATCTAGAGGAACAAAAAACTGCATCCATGTAATCTCTCGCAGGTTCGGATCGGCGCCGGAGGCACCGCCGGAGGGCCTGGCGCCGATCCGAGAAATCCGCGCGGAGCTCCGAAAATCAGTGGCTGCGCTGCTTCTTTCCTCGACGCGTGGATCGTTCAACCTAGAGTGTTAGGTCGGGCATGCCCTCCTACAGGCGGATGTTGTACGACAGACGAAAGATAGTCAAGGAATACTCAAACATAAGCAAAATTGGTCGAAAAATCTCCCCCAAACCATCTTTAGACTATGTTTGATGTTTTTTCCGGTAGAGGGACATGCCCGACTTGAGACCACGGCTCTCGGATCTGACTACCTACCAGACCACCCCAACCCAACCCGAAGACCCGAATTTGGGGTTGGGGGGGTAATTACGGGTTCCATATGTGCTTTCTCGATGTTCCCCGACCCCCCCCCACTGGAAATGGAGGGCAAATTGAGGCCTTCGGGTTGGGTTGGGGTGGTTTGGTGGGTGGTGAGGATCTGTCGATGTCGGCCGAGTCTGGGCAGCGGGCAGCGCTCCAACTTGGGCGACCCGCGCGGGGCGGTGGTCGCCCCAGCGGCGCCGCGGGGCGCTCAGCTGCCGCGCTCACGGGAGGGCCGGGCGCAGCCCGGCCTCCGCCCTGCCGGGCGGCGGACCTCTCCCCCGGAGCTCAAGGGCAACACGGCACTTTTTTGATCCGCGGGTCGAGAGCGCACCTCTTCCGGTCGAAGCTAAGCGGGCCGCGCACAGCTTTAATTGACAGAGGGGGGGAGGCAGACCAACACGGCACACGAAAAGAAGCATGAACTGAGGAAGAAAAAGCGGCGCAGCACACAGACTGTTGGTGCTCCGCGCGGAACTCGTGGATCCGCGCTGGGCCCCGCTCCCTGGCGCGCGCCGCGCGGCAGGGGCGGCGCTGGTGAGGCGCCGCCAGGGGGGGGGGCACAGCGCGGATCCAAGAACTCCGCGCGGAGCGCCAACAGTCTGTGTGCTGCGCCGTTTGTTCTTCTTCGAATGACGAGCGCTTCGCGCCAGTTCCCTGGCTCTTGCGCACCGGGCGCCCTCGCCTGGCTTCGGGCCCCGGGGCCCTCACAGACTGATCTGGCTCGCAAGGTGCCGCAGAGCGAGGGGAACAAGGAGCTCCAGCAGTTGATTAACGGGCGAAGAACGGTATAAAATAAACTTTTTCGCCGTCGGGGACACCTGCCCCAGCGCGGCTGGAAAGTTTATACCCTTACGGTGGCACCATAGGGGTATAAACTTTCCAGCCGCCCAGGGGCAGGTGTCCCCGACGGCGGAAAAGTTTGTTTTATACCGTTCTTCGCTCGCTGAGTTGAGCTTGTCTACCATGTTGCAATGTGGTTGCAGCGCCGGCTCGGACCGTTGGAAAGCCCCGGGATGTCCCAGCGGGGCCCGCAACAGAGGTCTCCCGCGACATCAAAAAATGTCGGGCCCAGTCCCAAATCGCGGAGCGCGACAGGCAAAAATCAATGGTTCCCCTAGGATTTTTCAGTGTTTCTGCTCCCGACGCTCCCAGACGGCACAACATGCCCCGCAGACCGCCCCAAAACTGCCCAAGAGGCCTCCACGAGGGCCCAAAGGCGGCCCAAGAGGGTTCCAAGACGACCCAAAGAAGGGCCCACGACAGCCAAAGATTGCCCGCCGAGGGCCCCAAGAGAGGCGAAGATGAAGAACACCAACCGAAAATCCGACCTGCCCGCCCCGAAAAAAACCCAAGAAGCCCCCAAGCGGCCGAAAAGAGGCCCCCAATAAGCCCCAAGAGGCCCCCAAGAGGCCCCAGAGGCCCCCCAAAAAAAAAAAAAAGCCTGAGAAAAAGACTGAAACGTAAAGATGTGTGGGCCCCCCTTCTCACTTAATATCCCAATAAAAAGGAGGACATAAAGAACCAAAACCTTAATACAACAAAAAAAAAAATAAAATACTAGAGGAAAACAAGAGAAAAAAAAAACAAAACAACCATATAAAAAAGAAAAAAAAACGAGAAAACCACAAACCGAGAAAAGAAAAAAAACATAGAACTACTACTCAACTACCAAAACAAAAAAAAAGGCAAGAACCAAAAAGGCGCCCCCAAAGCGGCCGCAGACACACTTCAAGGCTGCCTCCGAGAGAGGCTCCGCCCGGCCCTCGAACAGCCCTCGAGACGCCCACGAGGACTCCCGCACAGGGCCCAAAGAACCCACGACGCCTCAACCGCGGACTCTACGCCTCGCCCGGGGGTCGGCGCAGTGGCGAAAGCCTCGTCCAAGTCCCTGCAAACGGGGCGTTAGTAAACGGGGCAGTGCAAGCGAGAACGGGTAGACAGGGCATTTACCTCGCACTCGTGCGCGATACATCGGGACGGGGCGGTAGCTGCGGGGCGTTGGTAAACGGGGTGAAGATCCCGAGGAGCAGGAGGACCCTCCCGCTGAGGCGCCACAACTGCCTCCGTGGTGGACCCCGGGCCGCTCCCTGGCGGCGCAGAGGACCAGGAGTTTTCGCTAAACTGTCGGCTTGACCTTCCTGCTATTCCGCCTGCATACCAAACTTCAAGGACCAAGGTGCATGGCGCGAAGCACCAGTCTTGTATATATACATATATATATATATATATATAAGTAAATGTGTCATTCAAACATGGTCAAAAAATCGTCCCATGACTACTCTTTGACTATTCTTGAACATTCCTCCTGTAGAGGGACATGCCCGACCTCAGACTAGCTGCGCACCCACCTGGAGGAGGGCAGCCGAGGTGAGGCCCAGAGCCCTCGGCGGAAGCCTCCGAAGCACCCCTCGTGGGACGCCCCAAAAGCCCTCTCGACGCCGCAACTGCGGGTCCCAAGAATACACACCACCACCACCTCCCTGACCTTCCAGGAGGGCTAAAAAATAGCACCAGGACGTCGGCGTCCCAATTCCTGTCGAGGTTCGAGGCAGCCCAGACAGATCTATAGGTCTGGAGTGCTACTCTTTGGCACTCCGGAAGGTCGGGGCTCCATTCCCCCTTCCTCCTCCGCCCTCCTCTCACCCTCCTCGTTCTCGGGGGGGGGGGGGGGGGGGAGGGGGACGGGGAGGAGGAGCTGGTGGTGGTGCACCCTATGGGTCCCGCAGTAAGACCCCCCCCCGTCTGCGCGGCCACCTGAGCTCGGGCCGCCCCACGCCTGCGCTGCCCCGGAAGCCCGGGGGGCGGGCAGCCCGGGCGAGGCCCAGGCCGCGAGGCGCCGTGCGGCGTCCTCTCGGCGAGCCCCTGCGGCGCCGCCTCGGGCTCTGCGGGGCCTGCGGGCTTCGGGGATCTGCCGACCCGGGTCCGTAAAACGACGCACAAGATGGGGGGGGTGGGGGGGGGGCGGCGGTTTGAAATAAAAAAAAAAAAAAAAAAGAAAAAGAAAAATAAAAAGGAAAAGAGATGTATTGGGCGCCGCGGCCGCTCCAGAGCGTTCCGGAACGCTCTGAGAGCGCTCCGGAACGCTCTGGAGCGGTTTATCCCGATCCCAGCCCTGTTTTAGTCCATCCAGACCCGGGCCAGTCCGGCCTTGCAGGATCCGGCAGGACCCGGCAGGATCCGGCACCCAAGCCCGGGCCAATGCACCCCTGGCTTTGCAGGATCCTGCAAGGCCCGGCGCTCCGACGGACTTGGGTCCTGGCCAGGCGGAGGGGGCGGGGGGGGGGGACAGCAGACTCGAAGAAGAGACCACGGCACAAGAACACCAACTTTCGAGGCTCCGCGCGGATGTCCTGGATCTGTGCTGGAGCCGCCCGGAGGCGCCTCCAGCGCCGCCCCTGGCGCGGGGGGTGTCAGCGCAAATCCAAAAAATCCGCGCGGAGCTCCGAAAGCTTTCGTTTTCCTCTGCGTACTCCGATCACGTGGGTTCCTGGCTCGGACGCCCATTCCCCGTTCAGTGCCTGGCTTCGCGCGTGCGTGTTCACCAGGATGGCCCAAGGACTTCGGTGCTGGCCTCGCCGAGAAAGGTGCACGCCTCCGAGCGATGCCAACCCAGAAATGCGACGTCCTGATTTTCTCAGGACGGCGCCCCCAGAAGTCCCAACCCTTTCCCCGGGGCCGGTTTCTCGTCCCGAGTCGTTTTGTCGACGGTCGGGCCCAGCGAGGGCCCCCCCCGGAGCCGAAAATGGCCAAAAACCTCCCGTCCTGATTTGTTTTTACGACGCGGTCATGTCTGGGAAGTGCTCGTGCTTCCTCAAATGATCCCGGCAAAGCAACCTAACAGCGATGTGTATAAGCATATCTGGAAGCATTCCCCTTAAGATTCAGGTGAGAATCCAGTTGTAGAATTCTGCTGTTTTCGCAGTCGCAGTCGCATTCGCGATGACAATCGCAGTGGCAACGGCCTTAGGATCCAATGGAATCCTAAGGAGTCCTAGGGATTCCTAAGGCATCCTTAGACATCCTTAGGAATCCTTGGATGGGCCTGGCCGGGTCTCGCCTGCTGGGCGGCCGTGAGCGCCTCGCGGGCGCCCCGTGCGCCGGCGGGGGGCGTCGAAGCTGCGCCCGCTGGGCGGCCGCCGCGCCCAGTGAGCGGCCGTGGGCGCCTCGTGGGCGCCCCGTGCGCTGTCTGCACCTCCTCCTCCTCCTCCTCCTCCTCCTCCTCCTCCTCCTCCTCCTCCTCCCCATCTTCCTCTCCTCCTCCACCTTCCTCCACCTCCTCCTCCTCCTCCTCCTCCTCATCCCCCCTCCTCCTTCTCCTCCCCTTCCTCCTCCGCATCATCCTCCTCCTCCTCCTTCTCCTCCCTCCTGCTCCTCCTCCTCCCTTCCTCCCCTTCTCCTCCTTCCCTTCCTCCTCCTGTCTCCTCCTCCGCTTCCTCCTTCCCATCCCCTCCTCCACCTCCTCCTTCTCCTCCTGCTACCTCCTCCCGCTTCATCCCTCCTCCTCCTCCACTCCTCCTCATCATCATCCTCCTCAATCCTCCCTTCTCCTGCCTTCTTCTCCTCCTCCTGCTCCTCTTTTCAGGTGCGCGCTATTTCCTCCTCCTCCCCCTCTTCCTCCTCCTCCTCCTCCTCCCCCTCCTCCTCAATCATCCCCCTCTTCCTCTTCCGGCTGTGTGCGCCGAGTTTGCACCAGGTGAGCGGCCGTAGGCGTCTCGTGGGCGCCTCGCGCTGCCTGCACTGCACCGCTTACACGACTCTGTGGCACCTCAAAGCTTACACCGCAGAGCTTGCACCACAGAGCTGTCGCCGCATAGCTTACACCATCTAGCTCGCACCACATAGGTTGCACAACGCGTACATTGCACCACACTTCTTGCACCACACAGCTTCCACCAGAAATGTACTGCATCAAATTGCTTTTAGCGCGCGCGCAACTTGCACTATATCGCGTGCGACAAATGATTTATTCACCCAGATTGCATGAGCTCACTGCTTGGGCTCCACGCTGGCACCAAACAAATGTTGTTGTTGTTGTTCCGTGTTGCCTCTTCCTTCACCGCCTGCTCCAGCTCATCCCCTTCTCGTCTCCCTTCTATCTGTCGTACACCCTCGATTCCTCATCCAGCGCCTCATTATCCTCTCGACTTCCTCCTCCCCCCTCATCAGCAGTACCACCACCACCACCACCACCATCATCATCATCATCATCATCATCATCATCATCATCATCATCATCATCATCATCATTAGCAGCAGCAGCAGCATCATCATCATCATCATCATCATCATCATCATCATCATCATCATCATCATCATCAGCATCATCATCATCATCACCACCATCATCAACAGCACCATCATCAGCATCATCCTCATTGTAATCATCATCATTATCAGCATCATCATCATAATCATCATCATCAACATCACCATCATCACCATCATCATCGTCATCGTTATTACCATCCTCATAATCATCATCAGCATCATCAGCAGCATCATCATCATAATCAGCATCGCCATCATCATCACTCATCATTCATCACTTATCGTCGTCATCATCGCCATCGTCATCGATCATCATCAGTATCATCACCATCGTCATCGTCATCGCCATCGCCATCACCATCGTCATCATCATCATCAGCATCAGCATCAGCATCACCATCAGAACCACCATCATCATCATAATCAGCGTCAGAGTCATCA